AAAAGACATAAGGAACCTGGAGCGATCCTGCTGGTTGAAACGGGTGGTTGGACTGAGGGAGAAAATAATGGACTAACTGTAGGGACTCATGTGGGTTGCCGTTCGTTAGTATATTACTTAACTCCTTTTTCCATGGGAACCACCCGTTTCCACCAACGGGGTCGCTTCATTTTCAGTTTGTCTTTGCTATGGGAGCTTTCGCCAAAAAGCTCATAACACACACTTTCATTCAGGAGGAAAGCTGTGAACAAATTTCCTTGCAATTTATATGTGTAGGTATGGGATTAAATTCAAAAGGTAATGTTCCAAAAATCCAGAAAAATTCTCATTTCATCCAAAGGATAATTGGCAAAGTTCGTGTGCTCAAAAGGCATCATTCCTCAGCAGAGCAGAATGCTCTCACCTCACCCTACCTACATGCTGTATTGCCGTGCGAAGGGAAAATGCCGTATGAACCTTGTGTTGCCAAATTTCCTATGATAAAACACAAATTCCCAGGTAAGTAAACTTAGGAATATTATTCTCCCAATTTTTCAGATGATTTTGTTTGCAATTTCACCTAAAGCTCCGGAAAATTTCAAAGAAAAATATTCATAAATGTCCCTAAAAACAAGAATTATATCAAAGGGAATTTGGCAACTCCCGAATGTTAATACGGCGTTCTTCCTTAGCACGGCAGTGTACAGGCCGGGTCCACCGTGCGACAAGGCGGGCGTTGGTTAAACGAACTGGTTGCAGGCGCAGCAACGAGCGAGGCAAGGTTCGCGCTGACGTTCCGCCGTGCTCTGCGAGAACATCGTAAGTAAAATGGCAAATCAACGTACATACGCGGTTGTGTCTAAGGAGGGCAGCGTTGCGCTGGGAAGAAGCCCTCGCGCTGTGCCGCGCCGCAGTCACTGAAAAAGTGCCTTAATTAATGGCCCAGTGCGTGCTTCCAGTGATGCGCCACGATCTCTGCCTCACAACAAACACGGCGGGCTGATTATAGAAATTCATAGACAAAGCGAAAGACGACGAAGACGAACTGAAAATAAAGCGATCTTACTGGTGGAAGCGGGTGGTTGCAATGGACAAAGGAGGTAAGTGATACAGTGATAGACTTACGAACGGAAACCCGCGCGAGGGAACCTGTATATAGTCCATCTCTTTCCCCCTTAATTTAACAACCGATAGAATCGCTCCATGTTCCTGATATCTTCTCTATTTATCGCTTTGTCTATTAATTTCAATAATCAACCCGCAGGGCCCTACTTTTGTCCAGAAAAACGGTTTTGCTGAAATGGAAAGAACTTGAAAAAAAAAAGCAAACACCGAGACGCATGTTGGAGGAAAATGGGTTGGGAGTAGTGATAATTAAACAAAATATTTTGGACGGGAAAGTGATCGTTCAGCTTATTTCTGAACATCGCATTTGACGGGGGAGGATAACTTAAAGCGACCAGGTGCGTTCCTGTTCATATCAGACGTTGTCCAAACAAAACGATCGTCTATGAATGGATGTCATCCTTTAAAAGCCACCCAATTCGGAAAAAAAGAAAATTCCAGTTAATTGTAGAAAGGTTAATTTTAGGGTCATACGACTCTTCCGTTTTTTTATTCATCTACACTAAAAGGATAAACAAGAGTTCTTATTCGTTTGGAAATCTGCTCTATATACTCTAAGATTTAAAAACGTTCCACACTGGAAAAAAACGCATTGGATCTAGAGTCCAGACTCTTGAAAACATTGACAAGAAAAAGGACTCTTGATTCAATCAGATTTAAGCTTAAATCAAAAAGAAATCCGCTCAAATTAAGAGGCTTGGTTCTTGATTTAAGCTTAAATCTGAATGAATTAAGAATATTTTTTCTTGTCGATGTTTTCAAGAGTCTGGACTCTAGATCCAATGTGTGTGTGTGTTTTTTTTTTCCAGTGCAAAAGCACTCAATAGGACCGAAAATTCGCGTATTTTTGGCTGAGAGGCTGTCGTGGGAAAATGATAGACAGTTTTGGCATTATTCATTTACCCGAAAATTTTCGGCATGCTTCAGTGTTTTCCGTTTCGTAAAATTTCTTTTCCAGAGGCGTGCACTTTTCGAAACGAGCAGTTCTGACGACGTCAGGATCCTAGCGAGAGGGGGAGGGGGGGGGGGGGGGTGTGACGGACATGGATCCTACGAGAGACTTCTGAGTATTGACCCGACTCGATTCAGAAGTCGAAAACAATGGGCAAGAAGACTCAATATTGCAATGTCCTTGACACTTGACGGTTAGTGCCGATCAGCACATTCTTTAGATTACATACTTATTGTCTTTGAAGGAATCCTGGCTGAGTTGGAAATTCTACTATCTAGGAAACAGAATTCTAGTCTATTGAATGCAAAAAATTCGCTTTCGATAGGTTTTCCTATTCAGGATCTAAGTAAAGCGAGAAGTGGATTTGAGAAAGCTGGGCTGGCTCAGAGACTTAAACGCGAGGTAAAGAAAAATGACGCGAGTGCCGATCCTCTCAAATTGGCAACACTGTTTATCCCGTTTACTCCCATTAAAAATATCGATCTAACCACCTGAAATAAATTGTTCCACATGAATTTAAATGAAGAAAAAACAGTGTTGCCAGCTACTGTGAATCACGACTGGATGCAGCCGAAGTTTCTGTGCTTGAGGGCTCCGGTACCTCCCATTTCTTGAAGTAAAAAGGAGAGGTAACCAATACGAAAAAAAAAATGCCACAAGAAGCATTGAAACCGTCCTAAAGGTTCGGAAACGAATTATAGTATTTCATCATTCACCATATTTAGTCTCAGTTTTTCTCCACTTTAATAGCAGAATATACTCAAGTATGCCACTAAATCTTATGAGATGGGATTGAGATAATACACACTTGATCTTTATGATGGAATTCATGTTTCAAAAATCACTTCACTTATGAAAGTATGCACTTGATTGAAGATGGAATGTGATACATTTCGAATTACAGGAGTACTTTATCCATCCTAAGTTCAACTGGGGAAAGAAGAGAAATAGACAAAAGTCACATTAACCTAAAGCGCATTAAGAATCACTTGGCCCATTAGCACAGAGAAATTTCTGTTGAATGATGCTATCATTCGATGAAACATTTGTCCATTCTTTCCTTCCTCCAGGTCAAAGAACTTGAGAGATGAGGTCCTTCAGACACAATGAAAGGGTGATTAAATTGATTACATTGAGACTGATTGCAGGATTTCCTTGTGCTTAAAAAGGCTTAAGTAAGTATATGCCTTGAATGGAGTGGCTACAGAAAAGTCTATCCTCTATGGAGGAAACTGCCCTTTAGACTTGTTCATACTACGCAGAGAAGATACGATAGGATTGTGGAGGCAAAAAGGTATAAAGAGTTACTGCTTTAGATGCGCATCATGGAAGTAAGTGATGCAATGGAGGCTTTGAATTTCCGAGATTGATTTTAAACTGGCAGGAGTACTTTAACCCTTCCTCAACCTAAAAAGTCTTTGTTTTTAGATCTCATATTAACAAAAACATTGGCAACAAAATCACAGATAGGGCAATCAACATCTCATGTGAAGTACTACAGGCTCCCATTCCAAATTATGGTTACACCCCCTCTCCTTCCAAAGTCTATGGGTCTCACATCCTTATTAGTCTGGACTGGATTTGTGCACCTAATTTTTCATCCGAGCACTTTCAAAACAGAAGGACCTGAGAAAGGTATTGAGATTCTAAGGGGGAATCATCTCACTTTTGCCACCATAGAAGCCATCATCCTAAGCTGACATTAATAAAAAACTTAAGTATACTGGGGTCAGTGTTCTTTAATTGCCATTCTTGACCCTTGCTTTGTTTACAATCCTTTGGTAAGGCGACCTATGAGAAGTTGCAAAAGGGTCTTGTCTTATAATCAACAGGACAAAAATTTCAAACACACCGGAATAATCAACAAGCATGTGAATCACCTTTCTACTACAGCCCTATTTGGAACAATGCTCATCAGAATTGAAGATCTTGAGAGCAAACAGCTTCACTTGAGAAACATAAAACAGAAATGAAGTTTCAACCTTTAGGTAAATTCCTTATCAGAACTGCCCATAGCATTACAGATCAACACCTCAGCAACGGACTTTGAGCACTCGCATTCATACTGCACAGTGCAAAGGTTCCCTGCTCCTCCCCTTATCCATGAGTTGTTTACACATGGCAAAGGCCCTATCCAGTCCAGGTATGGACTGAGGAAGTTGGAAAGAAAAGAAATTTGCCATTGAATGTAATTCAAAGGAACAGCTAATGATTAAACCACAGTGGCTTTCACATAGCTTTTATCAATGAGATAAATGTATTAAGTAGATAGGAGGATAAGGGCAAGGAACCGGATTCACAGAAAAGTACATCTTACAGGAAAAAGTTTTTTCAACCTAGAAGGCACACGAATTTGGTAATGATAACCGTCCTGCTTCCTTGAATTAGAGGGGGAAAAGTGGTGTCTGTACCCGGACAAAATTCAAAATAGGTACCTAGATTGAAAGAATAATATCAAGTGGCCAAAACAGACTTGAGGCAAGTTTAAAACCGCATTGTAGATAATTATGATTACTTTAAATACTACATCAATTTCAGAATTATTAAGTACCTGAGACGAAAACGTGAGATGAAGGTTTGAGGCCAGTGCAAGATTAAAGCTTTGGACAGAAGGTTGATACCATTCAATGTAGTAAACTCGTGGAAAACTTCGAAAAGATGGCAAATTCAACACTCCTAAGCAGTGGTTGTTGCATTCAGTTCAATAGGGACAAAAAAAAGACTAAATACCTACGACGAAGGAAGGCAAAATGGGGCCATTGGTGAAAAAATGCAGGGGAGGTTAAAGGGACCAAAGGAAAGGACGCACGGCCAAATCTAATTCAACAGGTTGAGAAATCTCGCTGAATTGAAGGGAAAAATTAAAGACTGATTGAAAATTATTGCTCCGGGTACATGAAAAAGTAGAATAACGAATAAAGATAATTCTAATCAAGGTACAAACCTTCTACGACCGTTGAGAATAAGCAGAATAGAATGAGGGACAGCAGGTAATCCACAGGTCGCTTCATGGTTTGAATGCGACGGTTCAGCTCTTGTAAAACCACATTAATCCAAATTTGCGGGGAACTACACTCATAAAATAAACAAAATCATTTCACAAGTAGTCACATGCACATAATTTTCACATTTTCGCACTTAATTCCGTTTAATATCATTGAAAAACGACACAAAATCGCACCCGACACTACAAACAAAACGTTCCGCGGCCGCGATTACCGTACCGTACATTCAAACCAACGGCTGATTCCGGGACTCTTGGCACAAGAAAAAGTAGTTCCCGTGCATGCAGATACATCCGCGCTGCTCCTTTCTTTCCTTGGTGCACTCGTCGTATGAAGGGAAGCACAATCAAACTTGTCCAACGATTAAAACAAAATGATTCCAAAGGGAAATTGAAGGAAAGCTCATTTCACTGAAATATTTCTCGTTTCATCCAAACGCGGTGGTAACAAAGTGAGTACTGCTTTGTCTCGCGGCAAATGGAATGCAGCAAGGTCCGCCCCTCCAACGTGAGGCTGGCCAATGACAACGACTCATCTGCCTTTCATTCAAAACAAGGCCGTCGACCACAAATTGGGCAACAACCCCGCGCCGCGAAAAGGGCGGGTATGCAACACAACTTCCTGTTGCGTACGACTATTGTACGAACGAGTAATTGGAAGGCTGCATTCTTTTACAAGTTTTTGGGCTACACTTTCAAAGATTTTAGGATGGGCATTTAAATCTTTCAGTGCTATCCAAACTAGAATGGAAACATTGCGTGTCAGGTCAGAACTTAGAGGGCAATTGGCTTTCTAAAGATTGACCTCGGTGTTTTAGGCAATTTTGTTGACTGGATGGAATAGGATTTTTTTTTTAGGTATAGGACATCCATAGAATTCCCTTCATACAAAATTTCTGGTTACACTCTTTTTAAAATCCTCTCATAAGTAATCCAGTGAGCAAAAACGGAGAACTCAAATAATAAACATTTTGGATTGAATTAAATCAAATTAATTGTTAAAATTACTTACTTTTTAATAAATAAGTATCATTAAAATTCGTTCAAATTTTAATTTGTCACTTGAAAATACAACCACTAACGGTAACGAAAAATATCCTTATATGAAGGTTGTTCATGTGCAGGTACTTCATTGATATCTAACCCTTGATTTCAAATAAGAAGGGAAAATATTTGGTATAAACTGCAAAAAAAGAGCAAATCAACAGCGTAAGTTGCCAATCACATACCTCGTTTGCGGTGTCTGAAAATCTCTGTCTCCACATTTATTTTCAAAGGAGCACAAATTCACATCATTCCTTGAAGTTTTTGCAGAATTTTCTTCATACAGAGAAGAAAAATCACAGCAGTTTTAAAGAATTGCTGTTGAATGATATTCTGTTTAAAAAATAAAGTAGGTATGACAGGAAGTCTGCGACGTCGCAAACCGAGTTATGTGATTGCAAACTTACACCGTCAAAATGTTCTCCTTCATGTAAACCGGACAACTTTTGAAAACGATGAAATGGATTTATCCTTTGAGGACAAATTAAGGTGACAGAAACGAAAATAGCAACCTGTTTCTCTGGATTAATATTGAAAACTGGTGTGCATGAGACAAAATCTGACATACTTGTAAATGAAGACATTAAATTTTCCAGTTTCACCCTTCAGTCACTTCTGATACAGAGAAATGTGATAGATGAATAAAATGCTTGAAATAACAGTTCTTAAGGTGATTCGTCCCAGTTTCTGGTGTGGTCGAACTGACATGCTATCTATCACATCAATCATGCAAAAAATATTGGTAGATTTTGAAGTTTGAGCCAAGAAAATGACTGTAGCCTCTACACATGAGCCTAATGAATCATTCTAAACCAAAAAATTGGCAAAATTCAGAGAAATAATGGCAGAATCCTTTTCGAGGACAAACCTTGCATTCATGCAGAAATCGACAACTGTATCAAATGCAACGTTTTTGTCTCAAAAAGGATTCTGCTTTTACTTCTATAAATTTGGCCAATTTTTTGGTTAAAATAATTCTTTAGGTTCAGGTGTAGGGGCTATCATCCTTTCTATGGCTAGAACTTCAAAATCTGCAGAGATTTTTTGCATAATCGATGCAATATATCACATACCAGTTCGACTACGACGAATTATCTTGATAGAAACCTTGAAACTAATAATAGTGAATATGTAATGTCAATAAGCACTTTTAGCATCTTTTAGTTCACTTCATAACGTTCGATTTTTCCCCCTTTTTTTTAAACCCCCCCCCCCCTTACTAAAAAACAATGAAAGGCAACGAATGAAATAGTAACAAAATTTTATTACAAAACAAGGCTTGATAATGAAGCTCTAACAGTTTATAAGGCACCTCTTTGATTGTCTTTGAGCATTAATACATCAGAGAAAAATTTGGAAGGTACAATAATGAGAATACTTACACAAGTAATGAATACATGGACGAATTTTTCAAAGAGTGAGTATACTTCACTATATTCATAAATAAAAAAATTAGAAAGAGGATCAATGTAATCAAAAACATGCAATTTGAGGACTTCTGACAGGAAATCTCGATTCTTTGATACTGCAGACAAACATGATCCCTATTATCTAGGAAATTTATCGTAAGAGGCACAGCAAATGAATATGGTAACATACTCCTCTTGAATATTTTAAGCCTAAGGAAAAAATCTTCTTCTAATTGTTCTTACTCATAGAAAATCTTTCACCAAGATGGAAAGATGTCCCTTGTTGTTTTGGATTTATCTAATAAAACAGTTTTCTCAGAGAAGTCTTTCAGAAATTTCAAAATGGGTTTTTTTCCGGATTTTTTTGTCTCTCTTCATTGTGATACGCTGGTCACGCAAACCCAGATTCCTGACTACTGTGAAAGACACTATGCAAGAGATTCATCACCCTTCAATTTCACTATTCTCAGAAAATTTGCTTTCAGAGATTGCCCAACTATTCAGATCACTTCGATCAAGACACACTTGAATATTTTGATAAAGAATTGATCAGCTGAAAGTAGACCGGTGTATTGATCGAATGTTCTGCATTTTTTCTTCACTGAGCAAAGCTGAAAGCAAAATTTTCATGATCTGCTGTTGGATTAACTGGATGTATTTATGCTAAAAGGAACTATGTTACACGCAAACCCTATGCTCATAGTTCTTTTTAGCATAAATATGTTCAACTGTCAGTTGATTATGACTAACAGAAGGGGGCCCTCCGTTCATACTTTGTCTTCCTTACAAATAGGCTGATTCCCATCAGGAGAACGATGTCAAGGAAGGTTAATGTTTATGTCTCAATACAGGATGATATTTTGAAATTAAAGGATCAAATATCTAGTTGACTTCACAGTGATTTTCTTTGGGCTCAAACGGGAGGCTAAGCACTCAATGATTTCAGGGGCTCTTTAATTGCATTCAACATAAAAGATGAGGTGCTTGGGTCTTATTGGGTCTGTTCAGAAAGATCATTTTCCTGCACCCTAGATAGAGCCACAAGCTGAATAAGTGTACGTACTTTTCAAGTGACACAGATCGTCCATCATTTTCTTCTATACTAATATGAAAATTGCAGATCTTTTACTCCATGTTAAATGCATCAACTTATTCGGCGTGCACCTTACTTTCTTCAAAGGACATCTTCTTATTTTTCTCCTTGTTTTTATGTGCCTCTTACTTAAATTTGTAAGAAAAATTTTCTTCTCTTGTTCTCAGTTTTTCTTGATCTCTATGTTTCTTTGATATTCTGTTTGTTTTCTGGCATCTGTCTGCTTGTGCATCAATAGTTTCGCAAAGTATTAAGATTTCAGTCTGCCGAGTACATCATACCCAAGCCACTAGGTTTGAGGATTCCTGTCCCATGTGTTCTGGTTACAGTTCAACCAATAAATATATAAAATAAAAATTTGACAAACTTTTGTCAGTTGTTGCGATAACTAGGGCAGTCAAACTTCCAATCAGTATTTTCTTTTATAAAGACAGCTTAAATTAATTTTCAGCATATTTGATTCAATTGCTTACTGAAGAATCTAAAAATAGAAAATATTTAGTATTTTCAGAAAAAAAACATTCCAAAACAGTTTCTGTACTCTAAATGCACCGTAGCAATGTGGTTTCCAATTGTTACACACTAAAAACTGCCACTGATTACGCACTATGTATAAAAATAAAAAATTGTGACACAAACAAAATGAAGCCATTGAAATATAACAGTCTACCCACCATTATGAATGGTATAAATTGTTGCTGTTGAGATATAATGCAGATCAAAAAAAGTTTTTGTGAAACATGATAAAAAAGAGAGAGTAGAACTGTTTTGACTGCGGAAAAAAAAATTGCAAGATCTACAATGACCTCAACATTGACAAATTTTCGGCACTCTAGATAAAAAAAAAAATTAATAGGTAAGACTGATCAGATTGACAAAAACTAGATCAAAATAAAATTGTACTTGCATGACTGCATGAGCCAGAAACCATGCAAATTTTTAGTAGGATAAAAATAAACTATTTGCATGTGAAGGTCGCAAGCATGAATCTTTCAAGAAGTTTGGGACTAAAAAAATTTAAAACATACACTCTCTTACTTTTAGATAAATTGATCAAATTTTAAAAACTATTATACCTTATAAAACAAATTGTTTGGGGCGTTTTAACTGGAATTGATTACTAAATAATACACTTTACTTGAAAAATTCTCTGCGGAAATTGGTGACATTTCATTTGAGGGGCTTGAAGGACAGGGCGCATAAGTGCAGTTTCAAGAAATGCCTGTTTAAAGTTTCACAATTACATAGAACCTTATGGCGGAGAGGAAGTTTCAACTCACTTTTTGCTTTAAAGTTGGATTTTAGTTGTAAATTTTTCTCCGAATATACTTTCGTACTAGTTTCAGTCGAGTTCATGAATATCTCAATTGTTTCAAAAAACAGCACATACGCCTTTTGTCCTTCATGACCCTCACTTCAAGTAACCATTTTATGAACATGTACCACTCTCTTATGACAAGTTGAAGCCCTCTCTTGCGATTTGTTATGATTTAAAATTAATTTCATTTGTTCAACACTCGGATAAAAGTTGTTTGGCATGACTTAATCAGCGACCAATTTTTGTAAAACATTTTCACAAGTGGCAAAAAGAATATGGAAATTCGTAAATTAAAGACACTCACATGTTAACTGCATGTTCACTTGCAGAATTTTAGAGACATTTTAGACAAAGACATTCTAAGATTTTCACGATCCTACGAGAAAATTCATTTTTGACAAGATAAATAATAAGAAATGACGAGTCCCTTTTGCAATTTATCACCCCTCTGACGTAAGAATGTATCTCAATTGCCACAAGAGCCCTGTTCTCCATATAGCTCTATCCTTTCTGGGGCTCATGTGCACATAGAGATATGCCCATGTATCAGAGGAACGACGAATTGAACAATTGAACTAACATTACCTAAGTTATATCACGACACAGTTTTCTGATGCAGGTGCCACTAGCATCTCATTTACATTAAGTCTCCTTGGACAATGTTACACATGGACAAATAATATCGTCCTATTTGTTCTATTTGACTTTCACGTTAAGCTCTTTAAGTTTAAATGCACTAAAACACGAGCCAATAGTAATCTTGTAATATAAAATGATCTTTACAGATACATACGAATCTTATCAAACTGAGAAATTACATTATTGATTAGATTGATGTTTGGATGATCCACAAGATATGCTTTTAAATTTGATAAAATGAAAAGGATAAAAAAAGGGTAAAATGTGACTGACAAATATCCTTGATTAGCTATTGAGTGATATCACGAATCTGGTAAAGGACTTACAAAACTAGAAGGAAATTGACCTCTTTTGTCTCCGATTTCACCATACAGCCAGTCTTGGTTTATTGTTTCCAGAACAGTTACTTCATCTCCTTCCTGAAATTGAAGAAGCAGGTAAATCATGGATTCATTTGATCTTAATACAATGAAGGTAAGAATAAATACATCAAAACTGACCAAATGACAGTTATGATGTAGTGCATTCATGTATTTTCATTTATCCTTTTACGTCATACTGTTACAAATCTTACAAGGTTATTTAAATATTTATTTTTCACTTACAAATAATAGTTTTCAAACAGTCAAAATTATATAAGTTACTAGTGAAAGATACATTTAATCATTTCCTTGCTGAACATATGTTGTTACTATTTTAAGCCTTTGAAAATAACATCACCATCAATAAGAGCATGTCATTAATCCATCCACCGATTAATTAATTTCGTATAAATTATGCAAAAATCAGCAACTTTGAACAATTCAAAATAACCCTACAATACATTTCCTGGGGTTGATAATATCTATATTAAGCATTCATAATAGTTTCTTAAGGAAACAGGGGGAAAAATAGCTTTAAGGCTTTTACTGTAGGGGTTGTGGGCAAAAGTTGATGTTCCAAACGCCATATTTTGCCTGAAAACTAGGGGAATTGCGCCCCTCGGCCACCCCCCCTTTGGATATACCTATGTCCTTTTGCAAAACTTTTTAAGCAGTATATTTAAAATAGGTCAAACTTCTCTCTTTTTTCACTCGGAAAACAAATTTCATTTTTTCGAGAGAAGGCTGTAGCGTATCTGTAAGCCATTTGTATAATCATCATTTCAGCAGTTAAAAATGTTGAGTTTTTTTTTGGGGGGGGGGGGAGAAAGGGGAACTAGAAACAAGGAAAAATAAGCTGAAGAAATATGGAATTTCAAAATACCTTGAAATCAAGATCATCCCAACTTTCAGCGTGAAAATCAAAAATAGCAATAACTTTTCTATTTTCAGAACTACTACTGTCAGCACTATTCAGAGGCACCTTGACTTCTACATAGTTGCTCGGAAACATGCCTTCTCGTCCGTTTAAACACCCCATGAACCACTCTTCATTCACTTCTCTGGTGAGCAGAATCACATCTTTTTCCTGCACAAAAAGAAAGAGAAAAGGTATTAAAAACACAAGTGATTATTGGAAATAAATGAAAGTGAGTGAGGCTTGTTTTAATCACTGTTTATCAAATGAACTGTTCATTTTAATAAAAACGCCTAAAATTGAACTCTCCAACTGCCATTTGAAGGTGGGTCTGTTGCATGCAAGAGATACAGCCAAGTAAATAGAGTTTTAAAATCACAAAACTCACGCATGAAGATCACGAAAGGCACATGAAAAAGTCTGAAGTCCACTCTTTGGTACGTAATTTGTGAATAAAACTAACTGAATTCAATAACTCAAGGAACCTTGTCTAATTAAGAGACAAATGTTAGAGAAGCAACCTTACTCAGGCATGCTTAAGAGAGGAGTAGTTGAGCACTTGGAGGTAGAAAAGAGACTGGTTTACAGTGGCCCTGCCCCGGTATTTATATGAGTGATTACACAACCAAGAGTGGCTGGCCTTGAGCCCATTACGTAACTGTTGCATAACTCTCCTGGCTTGTTATGTAACTGCGGTTTCGTAAGCCGCTAGTTGCACAGCTAGTTGCCTGATCAGGCAGGAGCTACAGGGTGTCTAGCAATTTTCGAAACAAAATTCCCTAACATTCCCCTGATTTCCCTGACAAAAACGGCCAAAAAACCGGGAAAAAATTTAAAATTCCCTGAAATTTCCCTGATTTAAAGAAAAAATATTCCTAATTTTTCAACATGGTTGAGCTAACAAGTAGATAAGGATTTTCTCATGTTTCAGGAATGTAATGTAATAAACACAGCAAAATATATGGTGCCTAAACTTATGTGAGATATTTTTGCCTATTTAAACTTAAAAGACATTAGCAAAACTTCTGATAGAAATCTCTGAAAGAGTAAAATTTGCGGGACATTTCCCGAAAAAGTCATGTTTTTTGGTTTCCCTGATACAAAAATCGCTTGCAATATAAAATTCCCTGACATGCCGAATTTTTGCAGATTCCCTGACATATTCTCTGATTTTCCTGACACAAAAAAAAATCCCTGACATTTCCCAGTTTTCCAGGTTTTGCTAGACACCCTGGTGCTTGATTATGTAACAAGTTAACTGAAAAAGTAGTATGACAAGGAGAAGGTCCTTGATTTTGGATCCTTGATTGATTCAAATGATTATCCATGCCGAATGCTTAATAAATGGAACTAAGGCTGTCTTCTTCAATTTGCGTAGTTTATAGCACACTTTTTCAAATTTTACACCTGCTACAGGTTGTTGTTTTTAGTGGCTGCCATACAGAAAACTTACAAAAAAGTGGTACAAAATTCGCAGATTACAAACTGAAGAAAGGATTTTAGACTTTTTAGATGTGCCCATCATCATTCCTTTATATAAAGCTGCCATACTGGTACTTTTCCACAAGAAACTCGAATTTCAAGTCAGATTTTCAAAATTTCAAAAACCAAGATGGCGGTCGTGGCCTAAAATACTGTGTCGGCTCCAGTTTTATCGATTCTTGTGAAACTCGGTGTGAGGAGGTATTTTTCGACGGGAAACTCGAATTTTTGGTCAGATTTTCAAAATTCCCAAAATCCAAGATGGCGGGCGTGGTTTAAAATGCTATCTTGGCTCCTCTTCCATCGATTTCTGTGAAACTCGGTAGCACCGCATATTTTTCGTCGGGAAACTCGAATTTTTGGTCAGATTTTTAAAATTTCAAAATCCAGGATGGAGGCCGTAGCCTAAAATACTGTGTCAGCTCCAGTTTTATCGATTCTTGTGAAACTCGGTGTAAGGAGGTATTTTTCGACGGGAAACTCGAATTTTTGGTCAGATTTTTAAAATTTCAAAATCCAAGATGGCGGCCTTGGCCTAAAATACTGTGTCGGCTCTTGTTTTATCGATTTTAGTAAAACTCCGTGTCTGAGGGTAATTTTCGACGGGAAACTCGAATTTTAGGTCAGATTTTCAAAATTCCAAAAATCCAAGATGGCGGACGTGGTTTAAAATGCTACTTGGGCTCCTCTCCCATCGATTTTTATGAAACTCGGCAACACCGGGTACTTTTCGTCGGGAAACTCGAATTTTTAGTCAGATTTTCAAAATTCCAAAAATCCAAGATGGTGGACGTGGTTTAAAATGCTACTTCGGCTCCTCTCCCATCGATTTTTATGGAACTCGGCATCACCGGGTACTTTTCGTCGGGAAACTCGAATTTTTAGTCAGATTTTCAAAATTCCAAAATCCAAAAAGGCGGCCGTGGCCTAGAATACTGCGTGTGCTCCTGGACCATCGATTTCTGTGAAACTTGGTGAAAAAGAAGATGAAGACGAATGCTGTCTTCTCATGATAGTTAAAAACTATGTGGGGCAGGGCTGGCTCGCAGAGCGAGTCGCAAGTTCATCGAGAAGTCAAGAACCGGGGGTCCAGGGGCACTCCCCGGCTAGGCATGTCAGCTTGCAAAGCCAGCTAATCACGGTTAGTTTCGTTATGAATTTACCTATGAAAAGTCTTTTTACTCGTCTGGATCTCTGGCATGCAACAGACTCATTGAGTATTGTTTTTAAAAAATGTGTTCAGATTTTTTTGAAAGTTGCCTAAAATATGAAAATCCAGGGGGAAAAGAGGTCGAGGGGTAAAAGGGACAAAATGAGATCCTTCGTGATATTCCTCCTGCCTCTGAGATGCTTCATGTTCTTAATGTTTTTGTGAAGTTGGTAGCATTGTAGCTAGCCTTTAACGGTATTGAAGAGAATACTAACATAGCCATCAGATATTTCCAGAGTTATTTTCCTGTCTGTGGAAAAAACTCCAAAAATTATTGGGAGACAATGTTAAGGATGTGTTTCATCAAAAATGTATAAGACAATTATTTACTTTGAGAAGTTTCCTTTCAATAACTGTTTCCTTGTCAGTTGCAACTCATAAAGGTTGGCACAATGAATAGTGAATTTATCATCAAATATCAAATATTTGAGGAGAGCCTTCAGGTAGTTTAAATAAAAAATCTTGAGCCCTTACCTTAAAGGATAAATCACTTTCAACATCTGCGTTATAATCATACAAAGCAATGCAGTATGGCTTTTCATTTTCAACACGTTTTGATGGTTTCTAAAAAAAGAAGAATAAGAAATGTTACAGATACTTTCAATTGAACATTATTCTATCATCAGAATTTTTTTAAAAAATACCTTAACAATCAGCACATCTCCAAGTTTTAGAAACTGAATGAGTAAAAAAATCACACGACAAAATTATTGATTAATACATCTTTTCTGAGAAATAATATCGAAATGGAAGGTGAGACCAGAAAAATAAGAATATCGAAGATGATGTCTTTTAGAATCTCTACTTATCTTATATTAATTTGCTTATCCCAGTTTCTTTCCCATTCAATAAAAACTGATGAATAACTTTGTCTGATGGTGGCTGGACACCAAGCTATTTAACAGTTCTAGGCCCATAAGAACTTTAACTGCTAAGCGAGTTGTAGAGATCGTTTTTATGTGCTTGAGACCAAAACACGGCTTACATAAACTACATTTCTAAACGACAGGAACACTAACTGAGGGCCTGAGGATCTGTTGCAGAATAGGCACATGAAAATGCATTGGCAGTCAAGGTGCCAAAAAATTAATTAGGTGAAATAGTACTTACAAACTCAAATGATGGTCTCAGTGGAACTGGTGGCCCACTGCATAGTACTTGGAGAACCTCAGCAGGGGGAGGAGGTGGTGGAACAGAGGGCATAGGCGGGGAAAAATCATCAGGAAAGTCAAAGATTGACTCTGATGGCTGCGTACAGCTGCTGGACGGGACTGCCCATAGAGACTCAGATGAATTTTGACTTATTACGGGTAAAGGTGGCCTCAAAGGTGCTTTACTCTGCTTTGTTCGTATAATTGTGGGATTGCGAACAGCTGGTGTGTCCAGCATTTTTACTTTTAACTTAGGATCTTCATTGCTCAGTTGGAAAGTTGGATTGACGCATGCTGATTTTGGCAAAGGGGAGAAAGGGTCTGTGACGGGTTTGGTGGTGTCCTCAAGGCTGAGGCTCGTAGGAAAAAGAGCGAAGTCATCTTCGAAACCACTTTCCACTTGAGAGCCGGTTCCGTAATTTCCACTGGCTGAAGTGTTTCCATTGTCACTACTCAAACTGTCAACACTGACTCCATCACTACTTGATCTGTGGAGAACATGAAGTTGGTTTAATGTCGTAGACTTAAGTTTCCTACTAGTTAAAGGATAAAATGAGGATTATTTTGAGGGACTGAATTTTTGAAATTTTTGGTGATAATGCACAGCTACAAATCTTTTCGTGCGTTTCATAAATCGAGAGAGTTGTATTTTTATAATGCAAAAAGTACACACTTACAAGCTTCTCAATTCTGCCAAGATTGTAATACTTACAGATTCATTTCCTGCTAGACAATTTTAAACTTTGACTGGAATCTGCCATTCAAAAATTGTCTTTAGCTTTACTCATTTATTTTAGTTAGAAATGTGTAGCATGTGTGTTCATTACAGTTTGCTACACATCAGATTCAAAGTTACAAGGTCCCAGCAGCATTTACCAGTTTGGTCATACTCTTCACCGATATTTTTCAATTTTGAGTCTCAAATAATTTTCTTTTGAGAAATAAGTGCATGCCTGCTATTTGTATACCTAATACACTGTTCAAGTTTCTCAGCATATTGGCTTTTTTTGTTTTTTAATTTATTTTTTTGATTAACTTATCTATTGGCCCTTTTTTCTTTTCCTTTTTTTTTAAAGAATGGTAATTTAAAGGTTAAGCAATAAGTGATTGTCATATACATAGTTTTCATAGAAAAACATTATGGAGTTTCATGATTTGTGGTAGACAGGAGTTTATTGTTATACGTACGAAATTTTGGCTGAAAAGAGAAGTTTGCTAAAAATGTAAATTGATCCAATCTCAATTCTCCAGAGAATTCTTACGGATGACTGAAGAATTGATTTTAAGGCATTAAATTGGAAGTAGGGGTGCAGAACTACCGTTACTGAATGACCAACCGAATCATAATAGTCACGATAAAATTGTAAAGGCTGATGGACAGGGATTTTTGAAATGTGAAGGCATCTGAAAAGGGGGAAAGTGTTACGGCGGGACTACCTTGTGTGAATAAAATTATTGAATGTGTTATTCTTTCAGATGGAAAGTGCTGAGCACATTACTTTCAGCAAAAAAACTGCGAACTGTGTGTTTCATGCGAAAATAATAATGAAGTGCGCAGTCTTATGTAGAGCGATGTGAAGTTTGACTCAAAAAATGTGAAGGGAGGGAAGTCTTAGGTGGACAGCAATGTGAGGGCAGCCTAGGAAAATTTGATGGCTGCCTCAAAATATGTGAAAGCTTCCTTAGGAAAAGTGAGGGCAAAAAATTTTCTGCGCCCCTGGTCCGAAGTTATTCACTTTTAATGGATTGACACGTCTGTCACCTTTTTTGTGTCTCTAATTTCTGCAATGTCTTCACTTTTAATTTCTGACGGGCGTACAGGGGCATAAAATATCTTGCGGTGGAATTTTGTTATACCAGATGACAAGCAAACTTCAAAGAGATTTTTATTCGAGCATTATTTCAAGCCCGCTAGTTTTCAATTTACATCACTCCATTACTGCTCCTAATATTGAAAGTGATAAACCCGCATACCTTGTGGTAAGAGTTGGTGAACTAGGAGGTGAATGCAAGTCAATCAGAGATGCTACCGGTACACTTGGAACGTGGACAGCCTTCGTGATCTCAGGGTTAAAGATGTGAGCAGGCCTTGAAGCCGCAAAAGAATTTTTTCGAGAGAACAAATTTGATAAAACAGTTGTACGGTTCTGAAATAGAAGAGGAATCAACAGTTACAAAAAGCATTCAATGGCAAAAATTGCTCAGTATTGAGAGAAAAAATGGTGAAATTTCTAACCTGTAAAAGGCCAAAGAACAGAAAACTTCCGTTCTGCACAGGGGAGGGGGATGTTGTTGTTAATGTTTGCAGTTCGCCTTCCTTAAGTATTAAGTCTTGCTCGGAGAGGGTGGGGAAAAATTAGGACTTTAGAAATTCAAATGAAAGCATGCTGGAAGGAGATGTCCAAGTGGAGAGTCAGAGCTTCTGGCTTGGGTTTCCAATGCCTGGAGACTCTAAATGTGCTGACACCTACAAATTCTAGACCTCTGGCTCCAGTCCTTCAATTTAGCTGAGTTGCAGGACTCAAGCATCCAGTATTCCTGCTCGGTCACCACTTGACAGTAAGTACCATTGGTCTAGTTTTGATAAATGTTTGAAGACTATAATTGTGCTCTTGTCATTTAGTTCTATCTATGTGATTCACTTTTTATTCGTTTTTTTCCTAAAATCGAGAAGCATTAAATGCTAGCTTAAAAGTTGTTGGTGAATCTCTTTTTGTTTAAAAAAATTAGAATACACGGAAAGAAAAGAATTGCTGATTCAGCAATTTAATTGCTAAAAACAGTGAGTGCAATGTTTCAACGCAGATTTTACAACAAAAAAATGCTACTTTAACCACATTGTAAACTAATTTAACCACGGGGGTGGTTAAAGTAGCACTTTTTTGTTGTGAAATCTGCGTTGAATCATTGCACTCACTGTTTTTAGCAATTGAATTGCTGAATCAGCAATTCTTTTTTTTCCGTGTAGGTATCCTAAAGATAAATGTAAGAGAGTAACGGGAACTTTTAAGCATAAAATTTGTGATGTGGTGACTGATAGTAATGACAATGAGATCTTGCAACGATTGAAAGAAAAGTTTCATGAAGCTGAAACCAGTAGAAGGGAAAAATTGCGAATGTTAACCATTCTTTTGAGATTATGGACGGCGAGAAAAATTGTTGAGGAATTTGAAACAACAAGGTACACAGCGCAGCTAGGGATGAGATTACAAATAGAGAAAGGCAGTGCTTGAAACATACGCCAGCCAAACAGCAGTTCGCCGATAAGAAATCGCCTTTAGCCGCTAAGAAATGAAACTAACGCCAAGAAAATCATTGTTAAGACTCCATTTTTGGGATTTTTCGGCATATTCCATACTCGAGGCATTTCGAAAAGGCGATTTCTCGTTTTGGCCCCTGAGAAAAAAAGTTGCAGGCCAGATGACTGCTACGACTTCATGCCAAGTTTCAAATACTGGATAAAGGTATTCTATCAACCCCCAACCTCGATAATAGTAAAATGATTTTGAGTATTCTCTTTTTTGGATAGAAGATTCATCATTCGAGCAGAAAATTCTGAGGCGGACTGACCTGTATTTTGTTCTTGTTGTCAATTTTTGGTGGGGGAGGCCGTGGTGGAGGTTTCTTTTTCTTACTAACATCGCACATTGAATGAGATCTAAACTGATTAGCAAGACTAGACGGTCTTGAGGATTCAATGGCATGCTTCCTGTAGACAAAAAAGATAAATATTGTGAACTGCATTGCACTCGCATGAGGAGTGATCAAATTGCAATCGCATGGGAAGGGCACAAGATCCTGCTCTAAATAAGGAGGTTGCAAAATAATAACTGTGTGTCCTATAGAAATAAAATCACTCAGCTCTGCCCTAGTGAGGGATTCTCATTTCCTTTTCTTTTTTTCTCTTCTACGACATTGATAATAAGTGAATGGAATTTTCATAAATTTTGATTGTTTTTTCATGTTTGATTTTACTGATACATTTTTCAGACTCTACTTAAGTACTGACTTTATGTCAGAGAATCTAAGGATTTGAGAGATCAGGGAGTACTTACCAGATGTTAGCCAACTAAACTTAAAAATAGCTGAATTTTATTAATACTGTATTGTATCTAAATGTGAAAGTAAAATGTATTTTTCTTGCTTAACAAGCTGTAATCAATGGCAGGACTAAATGTTTTTGTATTTGTATTATTACTAGTGATTCTATAAACAATACTTTTCCTTTAAAAAAATAAGTAAATAAATTCGATCACCCATTGCACAATTACTTAGTCATCAAAAACATACCGAAGGGGAAATACCTAGGGAAAACGAAATCCGTGTCTTAGCAGTAAATAATACTTCTTCTTTGACGAAGAGAGCTCACACATGGTGCCAGTCATCACCAAGGTCAGTCCGATAACAAGATGTTCTATGGCATTTCTCGATCTGGTGCCAAGCTGCCCCGATTTATTATTTTACTACTTTCCAAACGTTTTCCTAATTTGCAAAGCCTCCCTAATCTCCTTAATGTGCATAAGATCAATGGAATCAGACCGTGGAACAGCATAGTGGAACAAGCAAATCAGGGGAATTTCTTGGCAACGCAGACAACCCTTGCCGCCGTTTTTCAATGATTATCACACTCAATTTCTGTCTCAGACTAATATGGGTCTATCGACCTTGGTCATCACTTACACCCTGAAGATTTCCTGAGGGCACCATGTTCTTCTTTAAATCTATTATGCAAACTAAAAATGGCTTGAGCAGTTGGTGCGTTGATGCTTCTTACAGGGCTTTGTGCGTCCAAACTCTGATTCTGATTGTAGTGCCATCTCACCAATTTTGTCTGAGGTGAGAACGCAGAGGAGTGATTACAGTCTTCAAGTTTTTACTTCAATTAAAAAATTTGTTTCACCGAGTTGTAGGGGTATTTTAATGAAATGCTTGGCGGTCTTTATATATCTTACTTACAAAGATACGGTACTCATAATATCTTAGGAACAGGTTCCTTGATTTCCAGTCTGATATAAAACAACGTGAGAGAATTGCAACACTGATGTTGTCATATTTCACTCCTTTGAACAGCGGAACCCCCTTCTGTACTTACTGATGAGAAAACCATATTAGTGGGGCCAGTTAATATATTATACATACTTCCCATTAAAGAGGCGATGAGATAAACCTGGTATGCATGATATTCTCAATATGTTAGATAGGAAAACTTAAGTATGGAAGTAAACAACTAATGTAGACTAAAGCCGCTAACTTACTTGTCACTTCCTAGGTCTAGAGACGAGATGCCCCTGGATATGGAGCTTCCAGGAGGTGCAGGAGCAGGCCTGGTGGGTAAATTGCATCCTGAAAGAAAAAAAGAGGGAAGTTACAAGCAGAACATATAAATAAGCAGCCCACGATGTATACAAAATCTGACAGGAATCTTTCATAGCACAAGTTTACACTACACTTACCATTTCCTGCTGGCGTGACCATTTCTGCTGCTCAAAGTTCGTCAGTAGTTTGAGTTAAGTGTTTACCTTCTACCTTCCATTATCGAGAGACATAAATTCAGTGGGATGTGCAAAAATACTGGAACAATGTAATATTAGACGAATTAGGACGCAAGGCGGATCGGATAAGGGAGATAATAAACATTCGTCACTAAAAAGAAGAAGATAAGGATAAAGGACATGGGACATCACAGGCAACAGAACCATAGAACAGTCGATAACGTAATCCCCGACCCGTGGTAGAATTTCACCACGAGTATGAGGCTCTCATTGGTGGATTCGGACGATGATGTCATATAAGTGAATGTAAAGTGCTATTGTCCTCGGACATGGCTTGGCAACTTTGGCAACCTTGTGTCTCTGTTCTTACTGCCTGATTTGGCTACCACGTCGCGAAAACCAGAAAACAGCGCGATTTTTGAAATGAAAATTAAAGCCAGAATAATCATTGTAGGTATTCAGAATGTGACCATTCAGAGGGTCTGAATCTGAACTGTCTTTTTTCCGACTCAAAAATCTTGCTCGGAGGTCATTTTTCAAGATACTTGCGATCGAAGCATTGATCATGTACCGTGATACTAACCACCACCACCACCCCCCCCCCCCCCCAGCCCAAGAGGGTATTTTTTATCTACAACAGAAAGGTGAAGGGCAGAGTTGCTAAGAGAAATTTCATCGAATGAAATTTCGTGAAATTTCACAAGAAATTTCATGAAATTTCTTTTTCCCCCATGAAATTTCTTTATTCCCCATGAAATTTCTTAAAATTTCCTCATGAAATTTCTTGGAATTTCCTTATGAAATTTCTCGAAATTTCCTTATGAAATTTCTTAAAATTTCCTCATGAAATTTCTTGAAATTTCCTCATGAAATTTCTTGAAATTCCCTCATGAAATTTCTTGAAATTCCCTCATGAAATTTCTTGAAATTTCCTCATGAAATTTCTTGAAATTTCCTCATGAAATTTCTTGAAATTTCCTCATGAAATTTCTTGAAATTGCCTCACGAAATTTCTTAACTCTGGTGAAGGGTCTGGGATAAAATTACAATTCTAGAAAATACCTCTGATAAATTTAAAGAAATTTTCTCCGAACATCTTTCCGACTATTTTGAACATATTAACACTTGGACTGCTGTAAGCAGAAAGGAACCAAGCCACATCACTTTTTTACTGAGAACGGTAGTGCGGATTTTTCTGCAAATTTCAGTGAATTTTCTGCATGATTCAAAGCAAATTCCCCAAAATTTTCATAGGAAATCGCACAAACGATCTCTCGTAAAAATTTAAATTGCCCAGTTACTTAAATTTTGCAATTTAAAGCTGATGTGGCTCGGTTTCTTTTCGCTGAGCGCGGTCCAATCAGCGGAGAGAGAGAGCCAGAGAGCCAGAGTTAAGAAATTTCGTGAAAGATTATAAGAAGAAATTTCATGAGGAAATTTCACGAAATTTCATTCGATGAAATTTCACGAAATTTCATTCGATGAAATTTCTTTTAGCAATATGTACTGGAGAGAGCGTATTTTGTCGGTACACCGCCCCCCGCATTCCATGAAGGATGTCCCGAAGGTTGAGGGGCTGGTTTGAAGATCTCCCTCCTCCTTTGGGGGTGCTTAGAGTGCTGCTAGAGAACATCAAATTGTCAACATTTTCCGGGGGAGGCCTCCCAGACTATCCCTGGACATCCGCGGCTGTTTTTTGGAAAAGGGAGGCCGAGGGGTGCAAAGTGATAAAATAGAGGGGGGGGGGCTAGCTCGTCAAGAACCTAGGAGGGGAGGGATGACACCTCTGTAAAGGAACCGCTACTTATTTCTGGCTCATTTTAGAAACAACATAAATGCCATTGGTTTCCTTATACAGGTAAGTTCTTTCATGAAGGAGCCAGAGATGGTGGTTCCTCATTGCAAAATGTAATCCATAAAATATGTACATAGTGGGTATAATCAATTATTCTAGGTGGCGTTAGCCGCTCACGCTGCTCAATTCTCAAAAACTCCTTCCAAAAAATGGGAGGCGAGAGGGCGTGATGGATTCATAAAGAAGTTCTCTCCAGTTGATCACGTATAAGAGAACTTTAAAAGTGGAGTAGGTACCTATAACAAAATATGTGGAGACTGAAATTTAAAAAAAAATGAATTTGGATGAAAATTACTTCGAGCGATGCAAGGAAATATTGCTTTTTTCTTCTGCTAATGCGGCTTCAATCCTACTTTTTTTTATTCAACTTTTGAAATCTTTTTATGAGCTTGATCTCGCTGGTCGAATGATTGGAACTCACCTTATTCAAGACTGTTGCAAAGTTGGGTCGTGTCAAAGGTGAAGCAGCACACGCGCCGTGCCCAAACTTAACTCTCATTGGCTAATACTGATTAGTACCTTTTTACGTCATGACTAAATTATCAATGTGTCTGTCATTTCTTTCTCTATGGATGATGTGATGTTTTGTCTTTTGTGTTGTCAATGGCCGCTACTACCATAAATTCGGAGAATTAGAAGTGTGCTTAATTCGTCTCGAATTCTTATCAAATTCGGAACTCTCCGTTTGAATGATTGCAACATTTTAAGTGCGCATCCGATCCCGTGCATTTGATCTAGCTCTGAAGGTAAGAATCTTCTACAGGGAGCATGTATTGAACCCCTGCCTCATAACTTTCCTTTTATCTTTTTGCTGTGACAAGCACTTATTAAAATCTTTTCCATTCAACGATTGGTACTTACCTTACAATCATTGAGCTCTTCATTGCTTGTTTCCTTTCATTGTAGTGCAGTTTTGTCCGAAAATTTCCTTGCTATTTACTTCTGTTCATGCTAACTCCTAGAGTCATCCATCCTCTGATAAGTAAGGAAACCCTTTGCTAGTCAAAAGCTCCCCCTAACTTGTCGTTTAATTTTAAGTATCACATTTGAACGTTCGATTTTTTCACCTCTCTTACACTTTAATGTGTTCGACCTTTTTACTTAATTTAGGAGAACATATCGGTAATAACTTTTAGTCTCCGCCACCCACTATGATGCGACTCCCCACTGTGCTGACGAAGTTGCTTTTGTGAACACCAAAGTTCCAATATATAACTGCAAAATTGCATAAATTCAATTTTCATCCAAAGTGATTCTCACTAAAATCGTACTGTTTAGCTCTTCTAAGTTTGGACAACTCTAGGATTCTAAGTGGGTAGTGCTGCAGAGAAATATGAACGTAGATTTTCATGAACGCTACCTACTGATATTATTCCAGATTTGAACAGTATTTAATTGGAAGAGATCGGCAGTAATAGGTAGTGAGATGCCCTTTGTGTAGGTCATTCTCAAAATTTTAATCAGAAATACTGCTTTGTTTCTCAAGTGGGTGGTCCTGCGTTGCTGTGACAATATTTATTCTTGTTGTGTATCCTACTTGTAAAAATATCTTCATAGTATGTGGCTTTTCAAAATATTTACGGTAATTCAAAGTACCGCTGACTCTTCTTATTTTTGGCGTGTATCCTACGTACTTGTAAAATTATCACTATAGCTTAAGGCTTTCAAAACAATTGAGGCACTACTAAAATAGTGCCTCGTGTGATCTTTGTGTTATAAACAATATTTACCTAGATACATGGGAATACTAGCATTTTTCCTTGTAGGTCTCATTATGTACCTGATATTCTCAGGAACCATACTGAAGCTATTGTTGATACTACTTCCATGTTGATAATCTCATTGCATGGAGAGTAACTGAACCTTCATATACTTATTTACCTAACACTTGGGACATCAACTCCGCTTTCACAAAAGTCCGCACTCATTTGACTGTATGTCCTCCCCTCCTCACAGGGATTTTGTTAGAAAGCTTCCTCTGTCATTCTCTTTTCCATCTGCTTGATAAAGTAATTAATAAAATATTTTGTGTTCCAGGAATATTCTTTTCTTCCCCTTCCACTATGGTAGAATGACGATCCATAATTTGTACATTTTTGATCGTTCTGGAATTCTTCTGTATTATGCTGAATGGAACCGTTTAAAACAGTCTGGCATCACCAGAGAAGAGGTATGCACTTAGGTTGTAGATTTTTGCTCATTTCACAAGTCACACTTTGTATAAATTATCATAGGAATTCTTCAGAGGAGCTGCTGAAATCAAATAGCTGAAGGAGCATATAGGGTCCATTTCATGACAAATAAATGAGGGGCCTGGAGGACAAGGCGCACAAGCACAATTTTTGAAAAAAGTGAGGCATTAATGATTGCAAGTACTTAAAATTAGTCTGAATGCATATTCTGCGAAAAGTTCGCTCCCAAATTCCAATTTTTAAGCATCAAAAAGTCAGTTTTAACTTTCTTTCCGCCATTAGGATCCATGTAATTTCGAAACTTTAAAACCTTTTCTCGAAATAGCAAAAACTGCACTTATGCGCCTTGTCCTCCAAGCCACTCAAATAATAATATCACAAATTTTTCAAGAAATCTGAGCCAAAAGCCACCTGTTGCAATGCTATCGCACTGTGTTGTGTTTATGCTCCAATATAATAATGAACAAAACAAACCTGTTCATTGAATAATTTATCAAAGTGGTCCTGAGATAAATCGAAGATATGACTTTCCATCTGACTTCATCGGTTATGTGAGCATGACGCCATGCTCTACTATAGGATTGATTGACGATGCATCATAAAGATAAATTCTGGAATGCAACAAAACTTCAATAGTACTGAAGTGGCGATGATTACAAGATAAAATTTGAGCGATAATTTTGAAACAAAACAAAGAAAAGACGTTTTTCCATTTTCAACATCATATTACTTCTTAGATATCGCCTGTAAGGACAGTTTAACTAAATTATCCTTACATTATTATGAATGAAAAATTTTCATTTTCTTTTTAGAATAAGGGTGCAGAAAGTTCATGACTTTCCCATTTTAAAAAGCCTTTTCTCCTTAAAAATTTCAAAAGTTAAATCCTTTTTATGGCTCCAACCAAATAAGCTGCCAAATTTTAGAAGAAACACATGATTTATAGTGTAGCTTAGCAAAAGGAAATGCAATTTTACCTACTTTCCCATTTCTGCACCAATGGCAACCGGCTTGGTTGCATGGTCAAGAAGTTTCCCTACTCTTGTTTTAGTAGCCATCATATTAATACTAATTTCTTTTTCAGGAAGCCAAATTAATGTTTGGTATGCTCTGGTCCATCAAATCTTTTGTTTGCAAAATATCACCATTAGATACTAAAAAGGGCTTCCTTTGCTATAAAACTAATAAGTATGCTTTGCATTATTTTGAGACTCCTACTGGTTTGAAATTCATTTTGAACACTGATGTTAATGCTCAAAATGTAAGAGAGCTTTTGTATCAAATCTACCGACAGGTAAGTCAACATTCTTTTTGTTGTGCACGATAAATTTCTTTTCCCATCCTTTCAAGTCTTCTCAGCCAACTCTCAGATTTCTCAAACTTTCCCAAAACATTGTTTTCACTGTCTGTATTTAGTCCTCACATCAATTGCAACCTTGCAGGTAACAGGGTCATATTAGCTTTGAATCGAAAGCTGTATCAGCTTTTTTTTTTCCTTCACTGAGAAATACTTGAGCGTTCAAAAAATTATCCATGGTTCCCGGAACACCAAGTTTCCTAAATTTATCTCATTTTTAGGGAATTCTACAGAAAATTAAAAAGTATTTGCTAACAATCAATCTACCAATATTTACCAAGAATCTACTAATATTTCATCGCACTCAAACGATATTAAAAGGCAAATTGGACGTATTTCTATCAAACGGACCTAAGCTCCATAGGGTGAGGAAGGTAGAGGGGGGCTTGGATTGGTGGCGGAATCGGGCGTCCGGCTTATTCCGTCCTATACTCGCAATGCTTTTCCATGGCGCTTAGGTCCGTTTGACAGAACGCGCTATCCGGAATTCTTAATTCCTCAAAAGGAACTCAAATTGGCGCTTAGTTTTGTTTGATAGAAATACGTCCAATTAAATAATGTGCTGATTAAAGTGTGTGCTGACAGAAAATTTACAAATTTATTATTGCACTTCAAATGTACAATGAGGTAGAAAGTTCTCTCCTGGAAAAATGATTCAGAAGTTCCCAATCTCCTAATTTTAATGACAGATTTGAGCTCTATTTGGACTGCATTAAGCAGAATGAAACCAAGCCACATTGAGCTGATCTTGAGTAAATTGAAGTGATAACTATCCATGCATTTCTAAACCGATAGAAATGGTTGAAGTTTGAATTTTGACGAACTAGTATCTACATAAGAGACTTTTTGACATGAATAAAAGTGGAATAAATGTTTTACCCATTTAATTATCTGTTTTTTGGTCACTAGTTCCCTGTTGCTTACTACTAAATGGGCAAAATCAAATCAGAGAAAGGAACTAAGTACCCGCTTGATTCCTCTCCATGAATTCGATTTTGAATATAGCAGGGACTTGGCTCCAGGCCCGACAGAGCGCGCATGTGCAGTGCTGTTGCTGACAGAACACTTAGTTTCAAAACAAAAACAGATTCTATTATACTTTTTGCTGGCGCAATTTTTGTAAATAATGAATAAAAATATTTTAACATGTAAATACCATTTAAACAATGAACCACAATTTAAGTTGATATTTCGTTACCTAACCTCAAGTTGCAGTTTTGGCGGAAGCATATTGGCAAAGTTACCTAAGCGCGGCTCGTGTACATGGTTCCTCTCTGTGAATTCAAAATTCCTCGAAGCGATTTGATCCACTTTTCAAATCGAAATTTCGAATTGAACACGATTTTTCCCAAACATTTTTGCTGTGAGATAAAGCATATCTTAGGCCATTCAGATCAACCAATAACTCAAATCGCTTAAAAATGTGGCTTGGTTCCATCCTGCTTAACGCGGTCCATTTAATAATTTATAATATAAAGCGTTTTCTTTTACGATAGTCTACGAATTTGTGAATAATAGTCACTTGCAGACAAAAAATTATTTTGTGTCCAGCAATTTTGTTCTCACATTTTTCAATGTTGTTTTTAGGTTTTTGTTGAATATGTCATTAAAAACCCTGAGTGCAATTTGAAGGAACCGATTAAAAGCGAGCTTTTCAAGTCACAATTAGATGCCTTTGTCAAGCAATCTCCAATTTTTGGACTGAAGTCATACTGATTTTTGGCTCCCTAATACGCAAAATGGCCATGTCAGATTCTCGAACTCTATTTATACAACAGTCACCTCAGCTTGAGCCCTTTCAGCTGACAAGTGTGAAAAAGTCAAATCTCATCAAGCATGAGTACGAGGACTCCATGCGCAACGATATGCGAAATGATCCAAATGCAATTTATCGGTAAATATGATGGATTATTATTCTCTTTATTTGCCAAGTATCTTTGTAGATAACATTTTTATTATGTATTAGTAATTAGAGTAATTTTTATGAGGTTGTCCTGCCTGACGATTCATTTAATAATACAGAATGTACTGTATCAAGATACATTCTACACTGTCTAAGATTTGCTCTCCTGCTCAGTTTTCCAATCGTGGGGGATATGGCATCCCTGCCATCAGTAGTAAGAGTATTCAACAGTCATCAAATTCAGTTGTTAAAGTGCCAGATACACCTGCAAGCTAGACGTGCTTCTTGAGCGGGGAGTAGGCCTTTGGCCGTGTTGGGCAATCCCCGTAGACAATCAGGTTGCAGCTTGCAGCCCGTAACTCGCTCCAAGCAGGATTGGATCCTACTTTTTGTGTCTGGCAATCATGTGTATCTGGCGCTTAAGTGGCGCTAAGCTTGGTGCAATCACATGCTGACCGACTTGTCAGCATGAATTGTGTTATATAAATCTGAAATGAAAATTTCAAACGCGTTTCTTCTCAAAAGATGAGACATGTAACTTCTTTTTCAAATTTTTTAATTTATTTAAAGATTTTTCTAAGAGCACAGAAAGTTCCAAGTCCTTCTGTAAATGCAATTCCACTTCCTCCATTTTTAATCCAAATTCATGATTGCTTTCTCCCCCGAGTGGAAATGAATAATAAAGATTTCACCTTCAAAATCGGTCTCTCTCAATGCTAAATGGGCTCCAAAACGTAAATGGCAGAAGAAATCTCTCAGGGGTCCCCGAACTTTGCCCGTTTCCACAGGGATTGCCTTATGTTTCTTGTTCTCCTGGGTGCTTTCCCATTTTTTCCCTAGCAGCAATTATTTACAACAATTGGGTACTGCTCTGTTTGTAGCTACATACTGGGCCAGCCGTTTGATATGCTGGGTCATCACAACTACCACCCAACCAGTGCTGTATCCATGCCGGTAGGCCGCGAAGAGGTTGTCTCTCATCATACTACAAGCCACGAGGAGGTGGAAGTTGAAGTTGATGTCTGCACTGACTTTTATGCAACGCAGTCACCGCATCAGGTGGAAGAAATTAGCCCGAAAAAACCTGTTAAAAAGAAAAATTCCCGACAATACCGTTGTAAAGTGTGTTTTAAAACCTTTAATCAGGTAAGTCTTTTTTCAAGTAAAAATAAAAGCTGATAAGAGGGGCCACTCATGTAATGCGTGAAGCTCTAGAGCAGGGGAGAGGAGGTTAAGGAGAGCATTATGCCAATTTGTTTTTACTGTTAAAGGAAAAGGACCTTCATCACATAGGCATTACCATGAGAGGAAGGGGGGGGACGGTTGAAAAATCCAAAATTTTGTGTTACATTTTTTATGAACAACCCCTAAGGTTTATATTAAACACTTATTAATTTTGTTTGCTGTGTATAATCTTATCCTCTTTTTTCTGCAAGCTTGAGAAAAATGCCGAATCAGTTCTCAGATTTTCCTAAATTTTTGCCCCATTATTTTTACAGCATTTTCGAAGCACTCCTCTCTAAGAGTTGTAAGTTTTGTAACTCTCAGCTATACATTCTATTGACAATGAGGAGTCCCTTCCACTCAGGAATTTTAGCTCTCAGGGTGCTTAGCGCCCTGGAAAACCTGGAAATGTCAGGGAACTTTTTTTTGTGTTAGGGAAATCAGGGTTAACATCAGGGAATCGGCAAAAATTCGGCATGTCAGGGAATTTTATATTGCAAGCAATTTTTGTCTCTGGGAAATTGAAAAACAAGGATTTTTTACTATTGAAAATTGATGATTAATCAAGTTTCAGAAGAATGGAATCAATACTCAAATTTCTACCAGAATTTCTGCCGATGTCTTAAATTTTAAAAATGAGGCAAACGTAACTCGTATAAGTTTAACCACCATATATTTTGCTCTATTTATTACATTATATCCCTGAAACATGAACAAAGTCTTTTGCATCTAATCAGCTCAACTGTGTAAAAAAATAAGGAACATTTATCCTTTTTGTCAGGGAATTATTTTTTCTGTCCGTCAGGGAATTTTAAATGTTTCCCCGGTTTTTGTCAGGGAAATCAGGGAAGTGTCAAGGAATTTTAGTTTTGAAAATTGCTAGACATCCTGGCTCTGTTCATGCATACGATCAGAATTCTCAAGAACTGAAAAGTAGAATGCTTTCAAGGATTAAGAGCACGTAAGGTAGATTCTTTAGATGGCCTTTACCTAAGTTTCATGCGCGATCTTAGCCGTTATTTCTGTTTATTGTGTACGGGGATTGTAGGAAGAGGCTCCAGTGTGCCAATTTTGGTGATGCTTTGTGATAAAACTTAAAGATTTTAGAACAACTAGGTACCACCTTTTTCGAACCCTGCTTCAATTTCATGATCAAAGATGATGTAGCAATGCCACTTTATTCAACAAACCTTGGCATATTAGTGTAATCTTTAAAGAAATTATCTGTTCTCTTTCAGTTGGTCAACCTCGTGACCCACGAACGGATCCATACGGGTGAACGACCATTCAGATGTGAGATCTGTTTGAAGACATTCACGCAGCAACCAAATCTCTGGAAGCATATCAGAACCCATACTGGTGAGCGTCCTTACAGATGTGAAACGTGCAATAAAGGCTTCACTCAACAGGCCAACTTGGTAAAGCACATCCGGATTCATACCGGAGAGAAACCGTACGTATGTCGTGTGTGCAACAAAGCGTTTACACAACAAGCAAACTTGAACAAGCACATTCGCTTGCATACCGGGGAGCGCCCATTCCATTGCCGCCTTTGTGCCAAGACATTCACGCAACAATCCAACCTCGAGCGTCATGAAAGAACGCATTCAGGAGCGAAGCCTTTCTCTTGCAAAGTTTGTTGGAAATCATTTGCACAAAATGTCAATCTTCTGAAGCACGAAGCAACACATGGTCACATGAAACAGCTGCTGAATGGAGAGTTGAACAAAGACGCCAATGACTTTTTGTTGGTTCAGCAAGATCCTCTGGCCCTCCCGACCATGCAGGTGCAAGCGAATATGGCTGAGGTGAAAGCCCCGGAAGAGTTTCCATCAGCCTCGTTTAGCTGTGAACAGAGTTGTCCAAAAGACCACGAGCAGCATGAACGGAAATGTGGCATACCTGTGATTTTGTGCACAAAAACTGGAAAAATTTTAAGGCGGGTGGAAACCCCATGAAGCTTTTCTACCTGATGAGTTTAACATAGGCTGCTTAACTTGCTTGTTACGATAGTGCTTTGATGAAATTTTTAATTTCAATTAAATGGTTACTTTTAATTCCAGATCAATTATTTTTTATTAAGTTTTTTAAGCAATGCTTCAAGTGAATACATTTTTATTTAAGGTACCTGTTACTTTTTGAAATAAAAACCACTCTGGCGGCTTAAGTGAAACATTGAATTAAAAATGTTCAATTTGTCTGCAGAGTGAGGTAAGTTTGGCGGAATTAGGAACTAGAAATTTGGAAATGGATGAAGTAGCAAGTAGCAGGGAAGGATCTTTGAGAACTTGTTCTGATCAGAGTTAACCAGAAGTCTTGTGTCAATAGCAGTAAAACTCATAGATAAGTTGGCCCTTTTTACTTTCTGTCAATAAATGGCTGTACTGCCATGTCCAATAGTGATCGAGAAGTGACTACAGGCGATGCCATCTTTGCGCGCGGCTATGTAAAACAGTCTATTGCTAGTGACAGTCAAAAGTAAACAACTGCCAACTTGGACAACGCAAGTTTTACAACAAAATTTTAATCCATGTGTATATTTTTTAGTACCAAAACCAAATTTATTCATTAATTGATCCGTATTAGGATATTTGTCATTAAACATTTCATGTTAAGATATTGTGTATCTGCATGTTTTCTTCCCAATGAAATCAAATCTTTGAAATTTCATTCAGTCTATCAATTGCACTGACCTGGTGCCTGTAAGCATATGAATGATATTTGCAAAGGGCAACCTGAGAAATGAAATTTGGCAATGAGCCCAGCCGATGAAGTAGTTGAAGGGACTACTTATTGTGCTGAAGAAAGGTCTGAGGGTCCTTCAACAAAAAATATTCTATTTAAATGTGTTGAGAATAAAAGTTTTACAACCTATGAATGAATCTCAGCTAGCCAATTGAGAAGACTAATATCTAGCAGTATCAAATATTTTGATAATATGTGGAGCTTGGCTTGAACTCGTACAAGAAGATAGAATACTTAAGAAATCAGGTCTTTGCAAATTTTTAAGGCTGGGCTAGTGTGCCTTATTTTAGGTGCTAAGCTTAAACCTGATCTTCAGGCGCATTTTACATATGATACAGAGTTGAGTTAAAGCGTTGCCTGTGAATGTTGATCACCTTCTAGAGACCTCAATCTATGATCTGTAAGTAAGAACATTTCTGTGTGTCATTGCAGAGTAAATAAGTCGTGAGGAGTAAATTTTTTAGAACTCTATAGGTTTAAGAAACTTAAGATGTGGCATGACTGAGTGGTCTTCTGTGATGATTATAATTTTTATGAAGTACAGTGTAAAATAATAACCATTTTGTTGGTGGTTTTAAAAGACATTACATGCAAATCGATTTTACTTTTAAGTTAAAATGAAAGTCTATTGAAGAATGTTACATTGAAATTCTGATCAAATGGACAATGGTGACATCAAAAGAAATATCATAAAATGTTATCAATTTTACGAAAGAATTCATTTTATTTCAAATTTTGTGAAGGATAATCCTAGTTGCTCTATGTCTAAGGTTGAGATCTGCTTTTAATTTATGAAGATGGTTCCGTACTAAATTGGTGAGTGTATAAACAACTTATCTGGAAAAATATCATTATTTTATCTTATTGCAGGTTGAAGATTTTCAGGATCAGGTCCAATTCTTATTCATTTTTTCAAGTACATACATATAACAAACGTTATTTTGCAATGAATGCTATGAGGAATCAGTTTAAACTTTATAATTAATCAATCATGCCTCACAGATTATAATTTTAGCACTTTAGAATGCTAGTCTTACCGTGGCCGAGTGAGAACGTGCTCTGGATGTATTTTTCATTCCTGGATAATTTTTGAATCGTTAGTCCGTAACAAATTGATCTTGAAAACTAATGTTGTTTTTGTATTCCTCAATTTCACAGATGCTTTGATTTTGCCAAAAGTTTTTTTGTTGAGTATGAAGATCTGAGAATTTTGAAAACTTTGACTTCGAAAAAGTAGCGCTAATTCTGTTAAAAACATTGTCAGTTTCCCTTTTAAGGTAATTTATTATGAGAATAAATTTAAATTCTTAAAATTTATGCAAATTCGTTAATACTTCCAAGAGAATATTTATCACCATGATATACTCCCAGCTTTGAAAAAGCCATAGGTCTTTCACCCTGATAATTTGAAGATCAATCACGAAGCACTTTATTTGATTTTAATTTCCAGTCTTGCATTGTCGCCAGATAGTGCTAAAAAATTAGCATTTCTCTCTAAACCTTTGTAAAATGCCCAAATTTCATCGCTCATCAGAGCAACATGGATTCACAGTGTACGTGGAGGCTTTTATCAATGGCTGTGGGGGAAGGTTAGCTAGGTACCCTTAGCTCCCATGTAAGCTCAAGTTTTGCGAAACTCTGAAATGAACAATTAACGTTTTGTTGTTCTTTATTTGCATCTTGCCTGTATATTTGACACTTGTTTGATGAGAGAAGATAAGAAGGAAAAAAATATTACTACTTAACCGGGGTATCACAATGAAACCCCGTGGCTTGATTAAAAACGGATTATCAGCAGCAAAGAAATAACAAGATGAAATGTTTATAGTTTTTGAAACACCATTTTATTAAGATATTGAATATAAAAACTTTAGATATTGTATTTTTAGTGAACCGAAGGAAAAAAGTGAAAATCCAATCTCTAAATCTACAGTTACCTGCTATATTGTCCTCCCCTGTTCGGGAGTTTCTTACAAATTTTTAATAAGTAAAAGTTGCAACCAGGATAGACTTTTGAAAGTATAATTTCGACTACAATCATCAATAATTCAATCTCAGCCTAATTTTGTTTGATCTTAAAAATTTAAATCCCTACTATTTTTATATCACATTGGAGTTCTCAATTAATACTGTAATGTAGAAGGCAGCTGGAAGTCGTTGAGCTTTGCGTCGTTTCAACTGGTTCCATTTTATCAACCAGTAAGAGATATTAATCTCCCTTACATAATCATTGGCGCGAAATTATCACGCCTTATTGCATACTTGGTTCCTCAGACTCATTCTGTATTTTGGCCCATAAAAATCGCTCAACCAATTTTCATCTGCTACACCCTTTCCATCCATTCTGCTGGATGGGACATTGCTGCGAAACATTCCACTGCAGAATGAACAACTACTCTCCATCTCACTTGATTCAGATGAGCTGATTGTCTTAGTGTGGCGTTGTTGTTGGTTCAGCTGTCTCAACGGCGAAGACTTGCAGTTAGGTTCACAACATCTTAAGTTCACACTAGTTTGATGCTGGGCTGCATTTTCTGCAGCATTAATTGTTTCAGATTGGCTCGAAAGTAAGCTGATGACATCAAAATCAGATTCAAAGCTTTCAGAATGAATGGAGGTGGCACTTAGGACCTCAGGATGAGCTGTTGGATGGGAATGACAAACTACTTTCGGGCCGTGCCTAGGTTTTCCTGTGACGTTTGTGCTGTAAATTAGAGGTTTCTTTGTGTAAGGCACACTTGTGTTGTTGGTGCTGTACCGTTTTTGCAAGAGACTCAACATACTCCTTTTGGATCTTGGATCATAAAGGTCTGGGTTCTCATAAATTTGATTAAATTTGGAAAGAATGTTGATAGAGGCTCTGCTTGATCTCCGAGAGTCTTTGTCAATTCTACCATGGTTTAGAATCTGAGAAAGAGGTGACACCCTAACTTTCGAGCCTGGAGCTTCTTGATAAAGTCCTAGCGGGTGGCCAGGAGATGAGAAACGATGATCATGTGGAAAAGAGCCCGAAAAAGAGGAAGATTGGTGATTATTACGAGAGAAAGAGCAGGACCGAATCTGCGATTGGCTCGATTTAAATGTATTATACCTACTTTTTGAGAGATGGGATGCAAAAGTGGATGAGTTTAGAGGATCAGTCTTCCAACTTGTACTACTCCAAGTGCTTGGGAGGAAGTCAAACTTTATGTTGGACTTCATCTTCGATACCTTGTCACCATTCGATTTGAGAATGCTTTTTGTACTAGGATAAGTCGGTGATTTGTCGCTGACCTGGGATGTGTCATCCAAGGTTGAAAAGACCCCAAGTTCACATTTTGCTTTATCTTCAACTTTTTCTTCAATGGTCGGATGCTTTGTCATACTTCTGTGGTAACCTCTACCGCAGTTTTTTTTTGGAGGTGTACTGTAGCCGTGAACTTTGCACGGCTTTTTTAAATCAGCATCCTTGATCGATCTAATCATTTTTCTAAATTTCCATCCATTATCAAGTGCTCTTGGTTTTGCATCACTGTTCGCAGTAGTGTTTGAACATTTTTTCTCCTTTCTCTTGGATTCTTTCTTATCTTTGTTATTCTTGGTAGGGGATTCTTCAATGACATTCTTTTCTGGTGAATTGGAATGACTCGATTGATTTTTTGTAACCTTTTCTGCCGATGTGGTAGGACCTAGTCGATTCTGTAAAACATTTTCCGGGGTTGTAGAAGGGTCCCATTGATCTTTAATGTTTTTCTCTGGAGATATTGAGTGATGCGATTGGATGTTCAGCAAATTTTCCGGTACTACTGATGGACTTGGTTGATTTTTTACAATTTTTTCTGGTGATTTTGAGTGACGTGACTGAATTTTTAAAAACTTTTCCGGTGTTATTGAAGGACTCCGATGATTTTTTTTAACTTTTTCTGGTGATTTTGAGTGACGTGACTGAATTTTTAAAAACTTTTCCGGTGTAATTGAAGGACTCCGATGATTTTTTATAACTTTTTCTGGTGATTTTGAGTGACGTGACTGAATTTTTAAAAACTTTTCTGGTGTAATTGAAGGACTCCGATGATTTTTTATAACGTTTTCTGGTGATTTTGAGTGACATGACTGAATTTTCACAGTCTTTTCTGGTGTTACTGAGGGGCACCAACAATTTTTTATAACTTTTTCCGGCGATTTTGAATGACGTGACTGGATTTTTAAATGTTTTTCCGGTGTTACTGACGGATTCCGGTAATTTCTTACAATTTTCTCTGGTGATTTCGAGTGATCTGACTGAATTTTTAACATTTTATCGGGTGAGACCGAAGGACCATTTTCAACATTTTCTCCCCAAGCTTCAAATTTTGTGTCATTATCACGTGACTTTTTCCCCATTTTGAAAGACCTCTATGGAAAACTGTTGAATAAGATGACCCCAGAAGAGTTTCAAATTTCATTCCTGTGATATACCTATTTAAAGAGGAAACTTAGTTAAAGCTCATTTGACTACATGCTGAGAGTCAGAATAAAGTATCAATTTAGTCTCCTCAGAAAATCCTTTCCGTTTACATGGAGAAGGATCATTTTTTGTGCCTTTTATCAGGCACATTTTCAAGTCCCAGAAGTTCCTCTTACAGGTGTGAGCATCTGAAATTTGAAATTTAGTTTTCTGAGGCTGAGGAGTCCAATTGGTTTTTCTGAAAGGAAAGAGAAAGAACGATTTAGTGAAAACCACCATAAAAATAATCAGCGGAATTTCTGTTTTACGAGAGCAGCTACTGATCTGCGGGGCACTGTTCGGCGGTAGCCATGTCTGTCAGCGATCCGCCCCTGCTCCTGGGATTTTCAGCGATAACTCTCGAAACACAGCCGTCGTGATGTTGCATACCCGTCGGTTTGAAGGCGATCTTTCCACGTGCATCAGAGTGGTCAGATTCAGTGGCTGCGTAATTCAATATAGGTATTGAATAGGCCCGACCCCGAC